ATGAACTGGAAAATCAAAACGGAGTAAAATTGCCGAGCAACTAGAATGTGTTACACTTCAAAAGGTATTATTGCTGATGAGCACTGCCTATACTGAAAGTATGTGCTACACTCTTTTTCCCTTCATTCAGTTTTTGTCCCAATTGGATTTTTTGGCAAGGTTTTTAACGAGGCAACAATGGAAAGCATACTACGAAGGAAGCGCCATCTGCAGAAATAAGACCTTTAAACGTCTAGGCATGGAAACAACAAACCAGTACGGGATGTTTAGGTAGCCTTTGGCTCGATAGCAAAGATCCTAACGGGAAACAAATCTTGCTATCAGACCAAAAGCTACTCGACCATTCACGAGTGCCCCTTCACCACAAGCCACTGGGGGTGGTTAGATAATCTTTTGCTCGGTAACAAAGTTCCTAATGGGAAATGAAGCTTGCTAACGGACCAATGATTATCTAATCATTCACCAAGTGGAATCTTCAAAGGAGCAAGACTTCCAGTGTTCCAATTAGCATTAGAACACTAGTGGTGGGATGATATGAGAATATAACAACCCGATTGCCATAGAAATCGGGACTATAAAATCCGAGAACAAGAATATATCATCAGGACCGGGGACTATACGGTAAACCCCGTAGAAACAAGTTGTACAAATTAGCCATAAGTAATGGCAATTTTTTTCAACACAACGAATGCTTATGTACTTTTAAAAATGGGAGGAATAAAGTAGAGTCCTTTTATTTTTATCTTGTTTCTTGTCCAAACGATGAATTAATTTATCATTTGAAAGTTAATCAAGTACTTCAAATGCTAGTGTTAGAATGAATAGGAGATGTCCTCTTCAAGAGCACCATAAACATAAGGGGGTCCTCTATTGTGAAACCCTCACAGTAAAGGCTTGGTTCCGGAAGAATGTATGCCCAGAACCCAAATGTTATCGGGGAAAAATTCACCAGAAGCCTTGCATAATTCAATGCAAAAAAGTAAACTTTGTCCAATGCTTAAACGAAAAGCACTTTTATATAACAAATGTGCCAAGCAACACAAATACAAAGTATGAAAAGAAAACAACAAAGGAAAAAAGAAAGAAAAAAAGTAAACTACTACATCCCCAAAACTTGGGGGAAAAGAAGCGTATGCACCCCCAGGAAAAGTAGGTGAATATGCCGTCGACTTGGGATCTTGGCCTTCATCATCATCCCATTCAAGTTCCTCCCCAGTTCCAGAGAACTCATAACCAGAACCAGTTTTATGTTTGATTTTGAATTAGAGTAACCGGAAGAGTTAGTTGCATCGGGTCGAACCGGGAGGCACCTCCGAGCGGTAAATTCCAGCTCACGGGACTTGGCGATATAGGCATCAAAATCGATGACGCCTGCTTTGGCCTTTTCCAAGATTTTTCTCCTCATGCTATACATAGAATGTGTTTTCTCCACAGTGAGGGAATCAGCTCAGTACTGAAGCTCTGATTTAAGTTGATCAACCTCGGTTGAAAGGCTATAACGCTTGGATATGTGGACCTAAGGCTGAGATCAATGTCACATATAGTAGAGATATGAACCTTATTGTGTTCCGTGACCCTCTTATACTTCTCCTCCATCTGGGAACGCTTATCCTCAGCAGCAACAACTTCTTCAGCTTTGGAGTTTAAGGCTGCTTCCAAGTTATTCAGTCTCTCAATAGAGACAGCCTCACGCTCGGCAGCAACAAGAACAACACTTTAGACCTCAGACCATTTAGCCTTGGCTTCATGAAATTGTACATTTAACTTAGAGGCTTTTTGGTTAAGGGCCATCACTTCCTGCTTGCTCTGCTGCAACCGAGCCTCCAACTCTCCTTTCGGGCATCTACGACTGGTAGGGGTAATGTAGCAATTGTTGGTGACGAAGATATGACCAGCGTGGAAGGAGATGAAACTGATGGTGTTGTAGGTTGAGAAGCATATGCGGCAAAGGCAGTGCTGGTTGTAGGTTGCTAATCATCCAAGGACATAAGAGGCCCGATTTGGGTTCGAAAGCGAGAATTTACATTCTTCACTATATCACACTCTCCTAGAGTTCTTAGACGTCGTCCTCGGTTGGTGTTGTAAACTCCTTCAGATTGAGTATTCTGTTGAGCTGATGAAGGTCGTTGTCTCATCTGTAGGGAAGCCCCTTCATCAGTGGCTTCCCCATCATCATTAATCACTATAGTAGCGCGATTGGCTCGGGAGTGGCATTCTTCACCTTTTTACTTTTGCTCTCAGCCAAGGAGAAACGCCTCCTTTTTGGTTGCTTGATCTCCGTCCGGGGACTCTGAGAGGAAGCACTTGCACTGGAAGGTAATCTGATGGCACCTATTTGGATGAATGACTCCTTTAGAAACCTCGCAGCCTCTGCGGGATCGGCCAAAACGTCCTCCCCGGGGATGGTAACAGAGCCATGTGGAAGACTTGAATTCAACAGAAAGAGAAGTTAACTAACCTTCTTATACACAAACACAAAAACGAGATAAAGATAAGATTAGTTTTGCGAATCAACTTACCATGATTTTTGGCCTTCCACCGTATTTCGGGGCCAGTTCATTCCACCAACGAGTCTCAGGCGTGGTAATATCTATAATCTTCTGGACCCACTGGTCCAAGCCTTTAACCTTTGGTAGTATCCATCGAGTTGCTAAAATAATAAAAGAGAAGGATCAGTAACATCATGAAACAACCTTTTATCAGAGAAAAAACAAACGTTGAACTTAAGCGTACGAGTTCGTGACTTAGGAAAAGATGCAGTTGTGGCCGGGATGATATACCTCGTGGCAACAACAACGAACCGCTCCATCCATCCACGGTCGTTATCATCATCCATGTTGGTGAGCAACATATGGTGGCCACGTTTTCTAAAGATTGTTACTCCCCCACAGAAAATCTTGGGGAGTAAAGGTTTATCAAACGAGCCAAGGTGAGCTCTTTCCCTGTCTCATGGCAGAGCCGTTGTAGACAGGCTACCGTTTGCCACACAGAGGGGCCTACTTGGGCCAAGAACACTTGATACAGATGATAGAACTCTAAGATCATGGAGTCAAGTCCCCCGTTCAATGAGAATGAGTCCAAAGTGAAAGGGTACGTGTGAACATACGTAAAACCCTTCTTAGGAAAGGTTACTCGCTCTACTAGAACGGGAGCAATGATCTTCAGGTAATGGCAACCACAATCCTCCTTCACAATAGGAATGCTAGAAGGACGGATGAAAGAAGGGTACACGCCAACAACCTATGTACGAGAGCTTGTAGAAGAAAACTTCTCTTTGAAGTCCTTGGCTGTGCTGAGTCTTCTGAGAATGATGGTGCTCACCGTAAGAGGTGCAACATGATCAATGCTTTCTTTGTTTTTAGAGAACTTGAGTCCTTGGAGGAGGAAGCCATGCTTAGCAGAAGGTAATAAGAATTCTTTGGAGAAGAAGATTAAAGAATAATGAAGGCAAGAAAGAGTTGAATGCAAAGAAGTTGAGAGAGTTTGAAAAACTGTGAAGTGTAAAAGAAGAAGAATGAGGCGTATAAGTAAAGGAATAGACGGCTAAAATCGTGGCCATGATTACCTCGAGAACCGGTAAAAGTATTGCTAAATCGCAGAGTGACACATGTTCGGGGCATTAAATGCGGGACGTGTGTCTAATCAAGCGTCAGTAACTTTTTAGAAGAGATCAGAAAATTTCCCGCCGAGAAAGGTATCTTCACCAACTTCTCGATGACACAAAGATGTGCCACCGGAAAGTAGGGAGAATATCTGTATAGGGTAAAATTGGTTCGTATCAAACACTCAGATAATAGAACGACACGTGGAATTGGAGACAGATGGAAAGCAAGGCAAGTGAAAACCAAGACCAGGAACATCAACTTAAGTTGACACCGGGTAGACTCCGGAGGGAATATTGCTAATGAAAACAAACAGATGTTTGTCACCGATGACCTTCAATGGAGAATATTCTTCAGTATTAAATATACAATCCGTCATAGAGAATTTTGGCATTCATAGCCTGCTGTTACACATTCATCAATGACCCCCATAATTGCCATTTAAGAGGGGCTTGATCCTAGGACCTTGTTCACTAGGTGCAGCTATAAGTAGTAACTTCAACAACCATTGTGGGGAACGGATTTTCGGACAAACTTATACTACACATTATTTTAAGCTCAATAATACCTTATTTCCTGTCTATTGATATTCTTATTACTGCCCTCGGAAGCTTTGCTCCCGGAACCAAGCTATTTGTTGTCTTATCTCAATTTCAACACTAAGTCTTGCATTTTATTTAATTTATTTATTATTTTGGGATCAAATTGATTCGTTTGTCTATAAACTACGTTACAAATTCAACTGTTGTTTTATAGGTAAACAACACCCAGTTAAAAAAGAATACATTACTAATCCTTGTGTAATTTATTTATATACCAAACAACTTATGGCACCAAAATATTTGTCACCTTTTGATCACCAAATATAAATGTTAAGAGTCTTGAGAGAGTTCAGGCAACATACATTTGCTTGTAAATCGTAGTTAGTACATATTGACTTGTAATAAACGGGATTTAAAAATACATTTATTAGTAGCAACTGGTAAATTGCATTTAGTGAATGCGACTTGTAAATGCATATACTTAATTGAACTTGTAAACTCCATTTACAGAATGTGACTTGAAAACCAGGATTTGCTAAGACTTGTCAATCACATTTCGTAATGCAGACTAATAAATCGAATTTAGTGCATAAGGCTTAAACATTGCAGTTAGTGAACATGGCTTAAAAATTATAATGATTGAAGACGGGCTATAATCAGAATTACCGAATGCGAGTTATAAATCGAACTAGCAAATGGGAATTATAAATCGCAATTATCAATGAGACATAAATTGAATGCAATACTAAATGAGACTTATAAAGAGTTAACTTGGTAAATCGGGGAATTGGACGTATAAATTGCAATTTGAATGCGATATCCATTAAACTAATGCTAATCTCACTATCTTATGCGACTTATGTATCTTTATTTCTTATTGTGAATCCGGTTTGTTTGCGTCTTATTTCGTAGTTCTCACTTTCCCGTTCCCCCATTGCTGTTGGCACTTTCCTTCTCACTTCTCAGTCATCTTGCAGAGAGCGCAAGATCCACCTCCATCTCTCTCACCTTTGGCCTCAACACAAGTCCTAATTCTCTTCGCTTGTTTCTCTCTTTTGAGTATCACCACACGCTTTCACACTACAATTACACACACATATGGTCCGGAAATCTTCTTCTTTAGAGAGAAATAATAATGGATTCACAGCCTTCCCGATCTTCGGGAAGGTTCGAAACCAGTCCTACTAACATCACCAGTAATAATTTCTTAACCAAATCAAATTCCGATACCAGCAGCAGCAGCACCCATAATACCCAAAGCTTAGCTTCAATTCTTAACAACCCACATGCCGGAAAATCCGACGGGTTTTGGTGGTGGTCCACGTCACCTTCTCTTCCTACTCCCGACTTCCTCCCTCTATCCATCGTACCCAAACCCGGATCCAATATCCGGCAGCCCGACTTCAAATCCTACCTCTCACCAATTTCCGACCCGTATGCTCGTTTCCACGACATTCAACAGCACACGAGATTCGAGTCCCTCGACAATCAAAATGACCAAAATGCTCTCGTTGCTTGCTTAAAGGAAGTCCCCGCGCTATACTTCAAAGAGGATTTTGAGTTAGAGGATGGTGCTACGTTTAAAGCTGCCTGCCCGTTTAGGACCACTGCTGAAAATTCAGTTATGCAGGAGAAGCTGTCACAGTATTTGGATGTAGTGGAATTGCACTTGGTGAGGGAGATTTCCTTGCGTTCGAGTTCATTTTTCGAGGCGCAAGGGCAGTTAGAGGATTTGAATTCGAAGATTGTTGAAGGGTGTGACAGGATAAGGGAATTGAAGGAGACTATAAGGCTCTTGGATGACAATTTGGTGGGGTCTGCTAGAAAGGTACAGGAGTTGAATGTACGGAGGAGGGAGTTGATTTCACTACAGGACAAGTTGAAGCTTATACTATATGTTGATCAAGCTCTAACAACTCTCAACCTGGTATGTATGATACTTAATATTTTTTCCCATTATTATGTAGTGTATCTTATGATGGTTTCTTGACTAAATGCTGTGAACTAATGATATAAGAACTTGGGGAACATTAGTTGGAATTACAATGAATTAAGTAAGGAATGTGAATAGACCCAAATACAGCAGAAGGTTAGAGTGAAGTTGTTGCAACTCATGCTTTGTGACAAAATTAGCTGGTTATACGAGGCTGATAGAAATAGGTATTGAATGAATCTTTGTTTTGCTTTTTTATAGAAAATACTACGGATCCTGAAAAGCTGAGATGACGGTGTAATCACAGCAAGCAAGTTATTAGGTCTTATTTTTCAATAACCACCTGGTAGAAAAGTTAAGGAGTCTTCTGGCAATTTGAATTCTTATGATGGTGATAACTTCAGTCTACTCTGCTATTTTTAGAATTAAATGTCCTTAGGACGAGAAAGTAGATTAAGTAATATATGGAAGAGAGCTAAGATCGAAAATATTGGGCTTTTACATAAAATCTTATAATTTTTGAACAGTGGCCCTATTAGAGTATTTTTTTTTTTCTGGATGAAATGACCCTATTAGAGTATTTAGGCAGACACATGTAATTCATCTTGATATCCTTTCCACAATAGTATATAAGACTATACAAAACCTTTGTTCTTTCATTTTACGATCAAGAGGAATATTGCCTACTTAGTACCCTATTTCTTAGCTTAATAAATACAATTCTTTTGAGAAGCCGGGATAGAATGATAATACATTGATAAGCACCAAATCCCTTGGACGATTATATTTAAATGCTTGATCAGTCAATAATAATTGGAAGGCGGAGCAAAGGCGACTTGTTGATGGAAGAACAATAAAGTAAAAAGGTCTTTAACACATGTGCTAAGGCCTCAAATATTTTCCACCTCACCAACTGGAATGATCTCAAATGTTCTGAGATTGATCTTTAAACCCAACTCCAGTTGGAACTGTCAAAAGTGGTCTTAGATACATACTCCAACAAAGCCCTTTCTGTATCACAAAACACTAGAGTGTCATCAGTGATTAGTAGTAGGTACTTGTGTATGTCGGGTATCTGGGTTCACCGAGATGTAATCTGCCTAGATAATCATGAGGAACTTAAATTTTCTTACTGCAATTATTGATTTTTCATATTTTATCCTACGTATTGACAAGTCACTGGTTATTGAATTGTATTGATCTGACACATATTCACATATTTTATACAGCTTGTTGCATCTGCAGATTGTGCTGGAGCTTTAGATGTTATAGATGATTTACAAAATTTATTGGTATGTTATAAAAGTCTTATAATTTCTCCGCTCATATTTTCATTTTTAGTTCCTTCTAGCCGTTTAACACCACCTGACTAGTTTTTACTTTGATCAACCTCTGTGTTCATCGAGGCTAAACCTGTCACCATCCTTCTTCTGTAACTTGAAGTTGGAATATATCGAACTTCTTTGTGATTAAGTTGGGTACTATTTTTTTCTTCAGGATAAATAGATATTTGTTTAATATGCTTCAATTTTTATTCTTGGTTTGATGGCTTCAATGAAAAATATTTCGTACAACTATGTGGATTGTCTGTTGCAAAAGTCTAGAAGATGAAGCTGTTATGACCATTGTACTTACTGCAGTGTCAATGCTTAATCTATGCTTAACAGGATGGAGATGAATTAGCTGGTCTACATTGTTTCCGCCACGTTCGAGACCAGTTAACCGCTTCAATTGATTCCATTAACAGGTTAGACTATTCGGATTGGATTTTTGTCTAGGTTCACTCACATTATTGCAAGAATGATATTGCCTTTAAGGTGTTTGAATTTTGATAATGCTAAGTGAATTAAAGCTTTAGCATAGTTTCCATTTGCTGTAGCAAAACGTGATGGCTTATGTTTTTTTTGATAAGGTAAATTGTATTAATCAAAAGGGAGAGAACTCCTGTATACAGGAAGTATACCAAAAAGTAGAGAATTTACATCAGAACATGATTCTCTACAAAAGACGCCCACTCTTCTATACAAGTACGGGCTATATGAGTGCACCAAAAAACGATCAAAGATAAAAGACTATTCTTAAGATGTGAAAAAGGAGACTCAATCCCCTCAAAAGCTCTCCTATTTCTCTCCCCCCAAAACTATCCACATGAGAGCTAACTGGGCAAACTTCCACGCCTTTTGCTTTCTTCTTCTACGGAAACCGCCCCAGCTATATAACATTTCCTTTACAGTGCTTGACATCACCCATTGAACACCAAAAACATTCAGGATTGCCCTCCACAAAGCCGAGGACACAGGGCAATGCAACAAAAGATGATCAACTTCTTCCCTGAGCTTTTACACATGTAGCACCAACTAACAAGTGTGATTCCTCTCTTTCGCAGATTTTGAGCAGTCAAAATCACTCCCCTCGCCGCTAGCCATGCATGATGGCTTATGTTTGCTAATATCTTTAGCGGTTTTGCTAGTAATATCCGTTTCTGAGTTAGTTGGATCAATGATAACTACCAGAACAAACTATTATCTCAGGGTATTATGGAGTGACCAAACTAGTTGTTTTTTCGTTTTCTTTGAGCTAAGGAGCAACCAAAATTTCCTGTTTGCATATTGCGCAAGGAGTAACCAAGCCTTCCAGTTAGCATGGATGATTGTTTGGGATTTGTGGATGATTTTCTCGTATGATACTTATTTTGTACTGCTTGAGTTTTATACAGGGGTACAAACCGTTTTCCATCAATGAATCTTTCTGGTATAGAAAAATAAGTAATTGAACTTTTGTTTCTGTTTTCATTCTTGAGTTTGTGTATATATAATTCACACAACTAGTAACATGTAAGATTTATCTGATCAGCTAAGATACCTATTTTAGGGCATAGCCATCCAGTGCACGAGCTTGTTGCTAGTTTATTCCACTCTATTGATTGCAAGTTCTATTCCACGTTTTGGCAGCAAAATATTACCATTCTACTTAAACAATGTTCCAGTATTTTGTATTTGCTTAATACATCTTTGGATCCAAGGATCTATATTACCACTGTTTTTTTAAAGTAAACTTTAGTATATATTGGTATTGTTACTTACCGGATCCATTCTTGTAGCATTCTTTCAGCAGAATTTATGCGTATATCTATACACGAAACTGGCGACCTGGATGCTTCAATTACATCAGAATTTAAAGTGGGGGCGACAATTTCCATGAATGGAGAAGGCCATGAAGTAAGCATGTTTTTCTGTATTTGTATATTGATGTACTTGGTCTTAGATAATATATGTCAAACTGAGAAACTTTCTGCACTTCTGGTAGAAGATAGTGGCCACTGGCCCTAGACAGTTTAGATGAAAAACAGTTTTAGAACTGGATATCTCCGGTTGAAAAATGATGATTGGAACACAATATTGAGTTTAAAATTTTAGAAGTTCTTTCTGGGTACTGGTACTTTGGTATTCTCTTTCTATTAGCAGTAGGAGGTTTTCTTGAAAAGGTTTACTGGAATTTACCAAGTAGAAATGTGAAGGAATGTATATGATTATCAGAAACAGAAAAAGAAAGAAAGAAATGTGAAGGTATGCGTGTAGTTTCGCATAGATAGCTGGTGGTTTTGTCTAATTTATTCTCCGCATAAACTATATTTTCAAAATGTCTTTTATAAAGCCCTTGTCCACTGCAACAGGCGAAAATCCTATTCTAATCTTATGACGCCTACAAAATTATGATTTGCCAAAGTTGTATCGGAGTACAGCCATCAAAACCTGAGATAACTCCTTATTTGTTGAGGTGCACACAAGCTGCCATGATCACCACTGTTATAAAAACTAAAAATAGTAGTTCCCTAGTTGTCTTTGCCAACACCAACTTCAGTCATTCCCTTTTACTGCAAATTTCCTTTCTTTTTGATGAGTTTAGTTACCTTCAATCTGCTGGATCCTTCAAACTAATGCTTATTTTCGACTTCAATTCCCTTCCTGAAACAAAAGAAAAAAAAGGAGCTATCAATTAGCGCAGAAGGGGATAAGAGGCTTGTACTGCTTGAAGTAGGCCATTTCCATTTACATGGAGGAAGGTGGACAGGTCATCAGTAACTAAGGATGACATCTCTAAAGCTAAAAATAAGATAGCAGCTTCAATGCCTGATAATCTGCTTATCATCAAAGGCTCGTGGTTTAATACACTTAAGTAATGCTCTGAGTTGTATCACCATATTGTTTTGTGAAAAACATTAAAGTAACAAATAATCTCTGCTATCTGTTTTGCATATACGTGACTTGTGGCACTTGTCTGGTGGAAGTTCTCCTGTTAGTGGTATCTCTCCTATTAGGTTCATGGGTTTTGAAGGTCTAGGAAGATAACGGGTGATATAAGTGTCTGAATCTTTCAAGTTGTATCTTCTTCTGGTTGACCTTGCAGTATATACTTTTCTGCTGATATGGTAATAAGTTCCATGCTTGATTCTAAATGTAATTTATGTATTTTCTGTTGCTCAGTGTTCTAATTGTTGTGGGCCTCTCCCTTTCATATCACCCTTTAGTTCACTGTGCCTATGAAGTGCATCTTGTCATGTGCATGCTTAGTGTAACAATATCTTTGTGGCTAGTCATCGTGCAACTCAATGACCAATCGTCTGAACATGACATTGATGTATTGCAGGTTAAATTGGATGAAGAAGAAACCTCCAATTTGCGAGACCGGCTACTTCCTTTTGTTATTGGGTTACTTAGAACCGTGAGTATCTCTCTTTTGTTACTGAGTAACAATTGTTACACACCTGTGTTGTAAAATGTTGGTGGTATAATGATTTTCTTTGGGTAGTAAATAATGATTGCTCAATGCCATATCATGATCATGATCATGCTCCCTGTGTAAACAAAACAGCACACCTACGAAAAGATGCAGAGTCACTCTTTCTTATAGTTAGGTGAACAAAACTATTCGAGCTAAATACGTGAAGCTTTGGGTGGGATTATACTCTAAAGTATAAATAAAAAATTGAATGATTTCAAGAGCTGAATTATCGAGCCTACACGTGTCATTATCTAAATAGAGCAATATCTTGTCAAGAGAATTTGGCTTGGCGCTGATTTTATTCCAAATTCTTCAGTTTTGTGTGTATACGATTTGATGTAATGAGCTGGCCATGGTTTAATCACTTACAGGGGTGCTACAATGCTAAATAGAGTATATGGGGCCAAGAGGAGATCTATTATGTGGAAACAGGTGATGGTGAAGATAGGCTTGATTAATTATTTGAATCCTTTAGTTTAGAAGAGAATAATGCAGGTGGAAGATTGACTAAACATCGGTCCCATCCAGCTGCACACTATACAAATGAAACAAACTCTATTCTGGGCTGTTTTGTAGTCTATGGATATTGTTTCTGTGAACATTGTTCTGAGTGTTTGGAAGTTACTTGATGTTTGTACTGAAACATCTGTTCATGGTTCACTTTTGATATCCAGGCAAAACTCCCTGCGGTATTGAGAATATATCGTGACACTCTTACGTCCGATATGAAAACTGCCATTAAGATGGCAGTTGAAGAACTACTACGGGTGCTTGGTGCCCAACCTATGGATTCGGATTTTGTTGCAGGAGAGCGAGCAGTTGATGCTGATGGTGGGTTTACGTCATTAAGTTCATCTCATTTTCAAAAGAAAGTGCTTCAGATGCAAATGAATTGGTGATGCAACTTCATCGTTCAAGCAAAAGGGTGGGCTGGCGCATTCATGCTATGGTTTCTGATATCACGTATATGCTGACACAGGTGGAAGCTCATCCCTTGCCGGTAGATTGAGAAGCCTGTCGCCTGAAAGTTTTGTTCATCTTTTGAAGGCTGTTTTCCTGATAGTGCAGGTAATGTGTACCTCAACAAATTCAATATTATCTTTGTTGGTTCTCTGTTGAAGATTCATTTGGTGGATGCACATGAAGTAGATGCTATGTTAGATTTCCTCTTGTTCATTATAGAAATGGTAAAGGAACTGCTTTTTGCCCCTCTTTGTGTTGTATATATCCAGCACACACTTGGTGCCAGACATCTCTTCCAAACTAATCACTAACGAAGGATATTTGGTGGGGCACTAATATTTTTCTATTAAAAGATGTTTAGTTTGTCACTGATAAAAAAGGTGTTCAGCTTGTTGTGAAATGTTGAAAAAAATAAAACGTTTTAAACTAAAGATGAGAAGCCAAATGTATGTGCCGCTAAAGACACCAGTCATTTACTACTTCAGTGGTACCTACTGGCCAGGGTGTCAGTATTTACTGTTTTCATCTATCAATATCATGACTGTCCACAACTCTCCACCAGTGTTAGAGCTGCAAAAGTAGAGTTTTTGCTAAGCACCAGAACTGAAGATAGAACATATATTCCATGGGAAATGTTGCATTTGCATGCATAACCAAACGGAGATAGTTTTGGTCAGGAATCCTGGTTGTTTTGAATATTTTGTTACCCATCCTTGTTGCAGCTGTCTGGAAAAGTGCTTTGTGTAAAATTGTCTTAGTGATTTCTGTCTTTGTTCCATCTAATTTTGGTATGATATGACTTGATTATGTCTTTTAGTGAATGCAGGCACACTTAGCACAGGCATCCCAAGTTAAAAAAGCCATTGAGTGGATTTTGTGCAATCTTGATGGCCATTATGCTGCTGACTCGGTTGCTGCTGCAATTGCACTTGGAGCAGCGGCTTCAGAAACAGCTCATGAAACAGATGATCAGGTGAATTCCTTGCTGCAACTTTCTGCGAAGAGGAACTCTGCCAAGGCTTCTTCTGTTCATGGGAAGGGAAATGATGGTACAATGACGTCGACTTTATCGAGAAATTTCAGGTTATTCACATTTCTGTTGCTTTTTCAATTTTTTGTCTTTTGGGTTTCTCTTTATTTACCAGAAATTTCGTGTCATTGTGTAAAATATTCGCGTCAGAGTTGATGTGGTATAGACAGTGTTTATTACTAGAAGTTCTGCAGCAAGGTGGTTTTCATTACTTTTTAACAAGCCCATGTTGGTAAAACATCAGGACTATTCTGAAAAACATCTTAGGTGATTGACGAGAGACTTTATCTGTACTGGGTGCAATTTCTTGCATGGGGTTAGAGGAGCAGAGGCTTTGCTGAGTTTTAGGTTTTTTACTTTTTCTAACTTGACTAGAAAAGATCTTTATCTGGTTGGGTTCTTTAAATGGTTGGTTTAAAGCGGCTGCATAGCAAGATTATTTGAATCTTGAATGCTGGTTTCTATAATTGCATTTTAGAACTTTTACTAAAAGTGGAAAAAAGTTTCACATTCTAATCTGTAAAAGGCGAAATGCTCTGTCCTGTGTTTTCAATTGTTGGCTTCTATTTATAGGGTCTGCTCAAGTTTTATTCAAAAAATTTCCAGATGTTCATCCCACTATTTTTTCTTTGACAGAGCTGATGTATTGAGAGAGAATGCAGAAGCTGTTTTTGCAGCTTGTGATGCTGCTCATGGCAGATGGGCAAAGGTCCTTGGAGTGCGTGCTCCTATCCACCCTAGATTGAGGTTGCAGGAGTTTCTAAATATATATAACATCACTCAAGAATTTATAACTGCCACTGAGAAGGTGAAATGCTCTGTGTTTTTGTTTTGTTTTTGGGGTTAAAATACATACTGTACTGGTTGTGTATCTGTATTACAGTTGTACTGATCCCTGTTTTGCCAATATATACAGATTGGTGGAAGATTGGGTTATAGTATTCGTGGAACACTGCAATCACAGGCCAAGGCCTTTATTGATTTCCAACACGAATCCAGGGTTAGTTTGTGTACCAGTTGAGCGTTGTATCATTGTGTCTTGCCTTCACAGGCTAAATGTATTGCTGGTTGATTCAGATGGCAAGGATGAGGGCCATTCTTGACCAGGAAAAATGGGCTGAGATTGATGTCCCTGAGGAGTTTCAGGCAATTGTCACATCACTGTTCTGCTCAGAATCTGAGACCCGTGAACTTGCTGATGAGGTTTCAGCTGATATTGCACCAAGCAGCCCCGAGACGTTCCTGAGCAGCGATGGTTCCCCTATGACAGAATCTGGACTTCAAAAGATAGCACGAAATACACAGCACACTGATTCTGTTCCATCAGATAGCACAGCACAGGTTAGTTCTTCATGATTCAGCTTACAAACTGAAAGTACTAATGCTGATTTTGAAGCTAATTCTTCTCAGATTAATGAAACTAACTCAAGAGAGCGTGGAAGATCTTCTCCTAAACTGATTTTCTTCAGGGGCATTGGGTATCATATGGTGAACTGGTTAGTAATTCCTTTTAACTTGTTAACTCATCTGTTCTTTTTTGGTAGAGGTGGCACTCTCAGATTTTCTTATTCATTTCTTAACTGTCGTTTTCTCTCAATTCCTTCTCTTCTCTGTCGTTGGTGGATCGGTTGCTGAAGTACTTGGAAGTTAGAACTACTGGTTTAAAGCTATTTCTTATGTAAATTTTCCTTGGTTGTCTCGACATGTTGCATTTTCTTTTCCCTAGTCAGAAAAGAAAACTTATCACATGGCATGACTTCTTAATCCTGTTTGGTGCTTTTTACATGGGACTTCTCCAAGAGTGCTGGATTGTACTTCCTATTTTTTTCCTTTTCTTACATTAAAATACACCCTTCAAAGATGACAATTCTCCTGTTATGTTTCAGCGGCTTGATTTTGGTAAAGATGTTGTCGGAATATATTGATATGAATAATAGTTTGCCGGGCCTATCTTCGGAAGTAGTTCACCGTGTTGTCGAAATCCTGAAATTGTTCAATACAAGGACTTGTCAGCTTGTCCTGGGTGCTGGAGCGATGCAGGTCTGTGTTGGTTTTCTTAATTATATTTTCTCTAGCTTATTGCTGATATTTTTTTTTGTGTACACAGTATTTTTATTTTTTAACAAAAGATTAGTAGGCTAAGGGTGCTCATGCCACCAAATATGTTCTTGATTTGAATCCCGCCTTCACCCCACACAGTGTAGAAGTTTAACCTTCCTTATCCCTAAGTTCTGATCCTCCTTTTACTAATCATCATCCAAATACCCTGGACTATGGGGTGAGAAAGGAGGTGAAAGAAATGCTAGAAGAGGATTGGTTTTTTATTTCCATATTTGTGGACTGCAGGAATAATTGGGTTTCTTTGAGGTGATAAACTTGCCAGAAAATGTATGGTGGTAGATGTTTGGGCATTAAAAGGTTTATTCTTCTGAAATCATTGTCAAAGATTGGAAGGCAGCTGTAATTATATTTTATAGTTTACTGTTGATCTGACATTGACTTTTTGGTGCATTTTTTACTCACTATTTTACCCCAGTTTACTCTCTCTACTAACATTATTTCCCTAGCCGATGGTGGATGCAATATCATTATTTTTAATTGAGATAAGTTTTACAGGTGTCAGGTTTGAAGTCTATTACTTCTAAACACTTGGCCTTGGCAAGTCAAGTCATCAGTTTGACATACACCATAATTCCCGGTATGTTAAGGATGATAAAGCTGTCAGTTATGGAGTGTCTTAATTATTTGGCTCGGCCGTTTATCCAATTCCTAGTCTACTATTGCATTTCATCCTTTAATGTGGCTGGAGAGACAAAAATTCATGCTTGGACATTCTTCCTTCAGTAACTCCATGTTAAGGTTACTATTTGTGTTGTTTTCAACCTATTGTTCAGGTTTTAGAATTCAAAGGGATTATCATGTGATGATATTGTGCTAATTGACGAAACCAGCAAGGGTGTCCGCCAAAAGCTTGAACTATGAGCACTCTAAAGAATAAGGGGTTTAAAATAAGTAGAAGAAAACTGCATATATAAACTGCAAGCTTAGTCAACATAAGAAGAATGATGTTAAGGTGTGATTAGATAGAATTGTGGTGCCTAAATGCAAGACCAAGACCGCTAAACTAATAAACTAAATTTGTTGATATAGCATGGGCATAAGGAGCCTTCACATAACAAATCTCATCATACTCATCAATGAAAATGGGCCAAAATTTACCTTAATGTAAATACCTTGTGATTTTAAAACTGTACTTTTTCCTGACAAGTTTTGTATTTGTTAAAAGAAATCAAGAGGATTCTGTTCTTGAAAGTTCCTGAGACACGCAAGGGACTTCTGATTCTGGAGGTTGATCGTGTAGCACAGGTATTGGAAATTTTAAATTCTATTATTGGTGCATTTTGCTTAAATCCGCTTCTAACAGAATGAATAATTTTTTTTTGGGGTCTATTTCATGCGATTCTTTTTTTTCCTTCCGTGAAGCATGCTCCTTTTCAAAATAGTTTCCTCCCTGTGTATGGATCTGTTATTTATGCTATGCATTTTTCTCTGCGCTAGTACTCACAAGACGTGTTGTGATGAAAAGAAAAAAAAGCAAATCCTATTGGTGAATCTTTTGAGAAATCACTCTATTGATGTCTCCTAATTGACCATATCGAGTTACAACTGTTATAAGATTAGCTGGAAACCGAAAACAGAATAAGAAGTTCAGGATCTCTTGCACTATCTTCAGTGGCACTTGAACACCAGGTGGAGAGAGATGGCTGTGATTAGTTTCTTCCTTGTGTATTTATCTCATGAATGCATCTTACAAGCTCTCATGACTTAAGAACATCTATAAAAAGTATAGGATGAAATGGAGGATAATGTGGCCCTTCTATTGTTAAAATTCAGGCTTGGAGTATGTTTCATCAAATGCTATTTCCTTATACTATTGCAATATATGGCCAAAAACGAAAAGTTGACGAAAAATAGAGTGCTTAGAAACATTAGTTTTAGCTTTGACCTCAAAAGCATTCAGCCTTGGTGTAGTCTGCTTATATAATAGACTGTATCTAATTCTTAGAAAAATAATAGGATGTAATATTGTAATGTTTTGCTTCTAATAACCACCGGCTTCCTTTTATCCCCAATCATGCATTTTCCAGTTACATGCCATTTTTCATATTTACAGTTTCTCGTATTTCATGAATTTTATTTCCTTTTTATCTCTCACATGGAAGTTGCATTTTGCTCTTTCTCATCCTTACAGATAATCTTAGAAGACTGTTGTTTGCTAGTTCTGTATATAAAGCCAATCAATCTTACATAGTATGCCCCAGTCAAAACATTCGGTGCTGAGATTATCAGACTTTCATAATCCAAGGTTTTGATAAGGAAATGTTGTTTTAACTCTAGATGTTTTCATGAAATGTAGGACTATAAAGTGCATCGAGATGAGATACACTCAAAGCTGGTACAGATAATGAGGGAAAGGTTGCTGGTCCACCTCCGTGGGTTGCCACAGATTGTTGAGAGTTGGAATAGGCCAGAAGATAGTGACACACAGCCAAGTCAAATTGCTCGTTCCATTACTAAGGTACAAGCTATAAGTATTGAGCCTGACTCTTGCTCCCCATTTTCTGCTCCACTTCTTCCTTATGTTTGTGTCCTAAAATGAGAAAAGGGATGGGATGAGGGTGGGTTTGTCACACCTGAACCACCTTTAATTAGCATTTAATGGTCATTCAATGTCAATTTGTGACTTTATTTTCTGGAAACCTAAAATGCTGAAAATGCTCTCGAAAAATATTTAACTGGATCAATAATTAAGCTACATAGTCATACGAGCGTCATTGAGAAAGATACAAGATAGCTTAAGAATCAGATCTTCCAATGCATCTAACAACACACAATTGCACCAAAGAATTTCTTCCTTGGATCAAAATGGCCTATCAAATTCTTCTAACTTATGTATTGGTTCTCTCTTTAAGTGCTATTCTATTTCTTTCCTTCCATATATATTAACCATATGAGATACTGCTTGTATACAGGAGAATTTTCCTATTCTTAATAAAATAATCAACCTTATAAAAAACGTAGATGTGCGATGTGCAACTTGTCATGCTTTACTCCAGCCCTTCTTGATTGTAAAACATGGGGGGTTGCCAAATTATGATTGACCTGAAATATTAACGACTACAAGTTCGAACCCCGTTTGAAATTTACTGGGAATTGGTTGTTGCTGAGTTAGTCAACTAATTCCAGAGATGATATTTCTCTGATACTTGATGCAATTTAACATATGCAAGTTTGCTCTCATTTTCAATTGTTTCTCTTGATGTTCCCATCTTCGCCTGGAGGTTATGCTTTACTTCGGTTCTTTGTTTAGTTGTTGCATGCAAGTTACTTTCTTTTGTTCTTTCCTACGGCAGAGCTTTTTCCAAATTTTACCTGGAACTTGTATCTAACTGATTTGCATTCTTAATCTGTTTGAAGGAAGTTGGCCTTCTTCAACGTGTCTTATCTCGAACCCTGCATGAGTTAGATGTTCAAGCTATTTTCAGGTGAACGTTTAAACTTTCTCCTCAACTTGTCTGTGGCAGAGCATAAAAGAGCTTTGTCTTTTTGGGAAACTCTAGAGAATCAATTATTGTTGCAGCATCAATGTCCTTTGCTTTCTTCAATTTTCAACTGTAACATATTTATTTGCTTAACACACCCATACCTTTAGGCTTTAGTTTTATCTTTGTATCTGATATATTTCCCCCGTCCCATTTTACGTGTTAATGTTTGAATGGGCACGAAGTTTAAGAATGAGAAAGGTTTTTGAAACTTGTGATCTAAAACAAGCCATAGATATTTGTGTGTTTAAATGATCTCATTAAGGATAAAATGGGAAGTTTAGAGTTCAATTGTTTCTTAGTGTAGAATAGTGTCATTCTTTTTGAGGCAACCTAAAAAGGAAAGTGTATCACCTAAAATGGGACATAGGCAGTAACTCTTTTTGATGTCCTATATTGTTGTTGCTATTATTATATATGTTGTTATGATTATTATTACCATTATAATAATAATAATAATTATTATATTTGTTGTTGTTATTATTATTTTTATTATATTAGTTGTTATTATCATTTCTTTTAGAAGATAAATAATTTCATTGATGTGGTCGTCATTTTATTTCATAAGGTTGTCCTTGTTTTTGTATCATTGGGAACACTGTACTTGTATATTGGGTGTTGGGATGAAATAATTTTTCTATTATAACCCTTGCTTTAATTAACATGTGGTATATTAGTTGCTTTTTTTGGTCCACTAAAATGAATGTGATACTTGCAGGCAAGTGGTTGCTATCTTCCATTCTCAAATTTCAGAAGCATTTTCGCACTTGGATATTAGCAGTCCACAAGCTAAAAAGAAGTATGGCTTCATTTTAGTGTATAATATGTGAACGTTTTTGCTCATTTAGATAATGTACGGCAGTATCATTCGATGAATTGTTATTTTCTTTTCTGAAGGGCTAATTTATTCATTGTTTTCAAGCCTTAGTTCTTAGTTGTCTTATCAAAATAACTAGTTCCTAGAATGCCTACATATTGTACTGTAGTACCATGTAAGTTCTTTAACCTATGATACATCATACAATGGGCGAGTAAGAGCACCAGAGCATCAACTTAACATGATGTCATCCAGATAATGGTCTGGAGAGAGTCTGCGTATATGTGTGCCTGCATGTGCACACACGCTTACAAAGTGGTGTTTTAAAGTATCTAACTGTAGCCAAATAGCTAGGTGCATAAAATCTATCGAAACTATGTTCCTCGGTGTTTTATATATTACTTTAAGGTTATATTGGAGAATAGACCAGTGAAATAATACAAGGCAAAATAGAGAATTTTGAACAGAAGTAGTAGAAGAAGAGGCATTACAAACTCAAGAAGCATGAAAAAGAAGACAATGACAACAATGAGAATTTTGAATACGTGTAGAGGATCCTAGTAGTCAGTAGTCGCATAGCAAAATGCCTATTTTTGTCCTCCTTTTTCCTTTGTTTTCTAAATCTTACTCAAACTATCGATCGCTTCTGGTTAGATTACTTTGCGCCTCCCTATCTAGAGTGCCCTCATTTCATGGAACTGCATTGCTTAACACAATAGATGATTACCTCTTGATTTGTATTACACTGTTGCTTTACAAAGTGATGGCTTTTAATTACACAAATATATCCTAAAGGGGAAGGCTGATAAGTTTCTTTTTTGTGGGTTCTTTTTTCTTCTTGTGTGTTACATTCATTTCTTTATTTGTTATTTGTTTATGAGTATTAACTTATTTTCTCTTGCAACAGAATGTATTGCGATGTTCAGCATATTCTTGGATGTATCAGATCATTGCCTTCAGATAGCAAATCCAGTCCTCCTAATTGGGGGCAACTTGATGAATTTGTGGCAAAAAAATTTGGCGAGGAAGTTAGCCAATAGCCTTGTAAAGTAGCCCATATTTTGTAAGATCAAATAGGTTTGATTTGACGGAGGCCATCTGACAATGCATGAAGACTATGCATCAGCATTGTATAATTGACTTGAGGTAAGTCTGGATTTACCAAAATCTTTATATGCATCAAACTGAAGCTGCATAAACTAGTGATAATGTAATTTTGGAAACTACTACCACTGTGTGATACAATGGAGGTATTTCTGTCTCTATTAATAACTAGACAAACTGTACCATGAGGGTAGATAAGTCTAGCAAACTTTGTTGTGGAAAGTGTGTTTATGAATCTTAAATCTTTAGCAATCATGGATGCCATAAATTACCGAAGTTCATTGGTTTGAGGCTTCTCCCAAAAATATATTTCATTGTTCTTGTTTTTATCTTCACATGTCATCCGAGTTTTCTTGTTTTACCTTCATATGAGACCTGAATTTCAGTATGAAATTTGCTCAGTAATATAATCTTGTACATGTTCAATTTTCTCAATTACTGGCATTTATAATCACTAAAGTTAGAATGTCTAAGATCTATGTTCCTTTTCTTAAGATTAATATCATTTGGAATTTTATCTTGTTGATTATTCTCATGTTCTTGATGTTTTGCAGATGTGCAGTCTACCACGGGGGAATGAAGTTTTGAGGAGAGGAGTCCAAAACAATTTTATGTTTGTCATACAAAAATTTTGTGATCAGTCAGATGCTTGAGTTTCATTATGATTGTATTCTTTCGCCCTGGAAATTAGAAATCCTTTTTCCTTTCTTTTGTTTTATATTTTTAGAGGAAAAAGGCACTAGCTTCTCAAAAGGGTAAGCATTTTTCTGCAGTAGATATAGAGATCAGTGGTAGTGTATGCTAATGAAAGCAACTGTATGTACCAAGGCCTTAACTCCGGTACCTTCTCCTGTATTGATATCAAATATCATAGAGAACGTTCTCGTTGTCGTTCTCCTCTCCTGATGAGAATAGATTGATTCTGGGCTCCTTTGTTTTGTAAAAATAGCACGGTATAACCAGTTTTCGGACTGGTCATTCAAAAATAGCCAGTGTTTACGAAGTCAATGAAAAATAGCCACTATTTTATTGCAACAGAGACCGGTTCAGCATAATATACTGGAGTTCGGTGCACCTGTGTATGAAGTCCAACATATTATGCTGGACCGGTATACTTTGCTGACTCCAGTAAAATATACTGGAGTTTGGAACACGGACCGGTATACTTTGCTGACTCCAGTATAATATACTGGAGACTGGAGCACCGGTGCTCCAAACTCCAGTATATTATACTGGACAATTATACTTGCTGGAACTCCAGTATATTATGCTGGGGTTCTAGTGTACTTATGCTGGAACTCCATCATATTATGCTGGAGTTTCAACATACTTATCCTGGAACTCCAGTATAATATGCTGGAGTTCAAACATACTTATGCTGGAATTCCAGTATAATATATTGGCGTATTTTCCGGGTTTTGAATAGTGTTTTCGCTCAGTTTTATCTTTACAATGAAAAGTGGTTAAATTTCGATTACTTTTGAAATTGAGCTATTTTTGAACGACCAGTTGTAAATCTGGCTATTTTTGAATTTCTCCCATTGTTTTCCCCTCGTTAATCATTTATTTTGAGTTTGCTAATTGAATCCTTTTAGTAACGAGTCTTCTTGGATTACGTTTGAGATTGCGTCAGTTTCCTCTGAAGTGCAGAGAAAATGATATCCCTATTACCAGTTAGAATTTGTATAGAAGAAAAAAAAATGATTCTATATAGATTTATTGTGTTTTACAGATCGATCTCCTGTGTTATATTTTGCGGCTAATCGGCTATCATGTGATGAGGGCCATAGAGTTCTCGCCCACTGAACTGAGGAAATGCTGGTTACTTGTAAAGTCAAATTTCTGGGATCTGTGGTACTTGAGTTTTTTACAACCCAATATATATATATATATNGCTATACAAGATACACTCAAAACTCACTAGATACATCAAAGAATTAATAGGTGCATCTATCCAAGTAGCACATTGTATAGAATGTATGGATGGATTAAATGAACATCCATATACACTCACTTTGTTTATAACACTCCCCCTTGGATGTTCATTTGAAAGATAATGTGCCTCGTTAAAACCTTACTAGAAAAAACCTAGTGGAAAAAAGCCCAGTGAAGGAAAAAGAGTACACATCTTGTAATACGCATTGAGTGCTCATTAAAAACCTTACCAGGAAAACACACTTGGGACAAAACCTTGATTAAGGAAAAAAGAGTACAACGCGTATTATACTCCCCCTGATGAAAGCTTTATTTGATATCTCGGAGACGACGCATTCCAATCTTATGTCTCAGCTTCTCGAATGTTGATGTTGGCAATGCCTTGGTGAATAAATATGCTAGATTGTCACTTGAACGGATTTGTTGAACATCTATCTCACCATTTTGCTAAAGATCGTGTGTGAAAAAGAACTTTGGTGAATTGTGCTTTGTTCTGTCTCCTTTGATATATCCTCCTTTAAAGCAGCATTGTCTAATATCGTTGGAATCTTCGTTTTTAAAGAAAGATCACATAATTATTGAATATGTTGAGTCGCTGATCTCAACCATACACATTCTCGACTAGTTTCATGAATAGCTATTATCTCTACATGATTGGAAGATGTAGCAGCTAAAGTTTGTTTTGTTGAACGCCATGAAATAGCTGTACTCTCACAAGTAAATAAATAGCCTGTTTGAGATTGGGCTTTATGTGGGTCAGACAAATAACATGCATCTGCATAACCAATCAACTGTGAATCGGATTCATAAGAATAAAATAATCCCATATCAATAGTCCCTCCGAGATATATAAAAATATGCTTAACACCATTCTAGTGTCTTGTTGTTGGAAAGGAACTAAATCTTGCTAATAAACTTACTGTAAAAGTTATATCTTGCCGAGTATTATTTGCAAGATATATTAGTGCCCCAATTGCACTAAGATATGGGGTTTCATCACCAAGAAGCTCTCCATCATTTTCATGAGGTCGGAATGGATCTTTATTTATATCAAGTGATCTCACAACCATCGGGGTACTCAATGGATGTGCTTTATCCATATAAAAACGCTCTAGGATCTTTTCGGTATAGGTTGATTGATGGACAAAAATTTCATCTTTCATATGCTCGATTTGTAGACCAAGATAAAATTTTATCTTTCCAAGATCTTTCATTTCAAACTCTTTCTTCAAACAGTCTACTGCTTTTGGAAGTTCCCTAGGAGATCCAATGATATTTAGATCATCAACATATACAGCGATTATAACAAATTCAGATTCAGACCTTCTTATAAATACACAAGGACAAATTGGATCATTCTTATACCATTCTTTCAACAAATACTCACTCAGGCGATTATACCACATTCGTCCTGATTGTTTCAATCCATATAAGGATTTTGAAGCTTTATTGAACAAGTTTCTCGAAAACTTTTATTAGTTTCAGGAACTTTGAGCCCTTTAGGAATTTTCATATAAATTTCGTAGTCTAATGTGCCATACAAATAGGCTGTAACAACATCCATTAGACGCATATCAATTTTTTCACGGACTACCAAATTTATAAGATACTTGAAAGTGATTGCATCCACCACAGGAGAATATGTCTCCATATAATCAATGCCAGGTCTTTGCGAAAATCCTTGTTCCACAAGTTGTGCTTTATATTTAACGACTTCATTTTTATCATTTCGTTTTCGCACAAAAACCCTTTTGTATCCCACTAGCTTTATTCCTTTGGGTGTTCGGACTATACGTCCGAATACTTCACGTTTTTCAAGTGACGATGATTCTGCCTGGATAGCGTCTTTTCATTTTTGCCAATCATTTCTCTGTCTACATTCATCAACAGATCTTGGTTCAAGATCCTCATCTTGTTGCATTGTTTCAACAACAACATTATAAGCTAAAATATTGTCAACAATAATATTATTTCGGTTCCGCCTTTTTGCCGTAGAGACATAACTTATTGAGATCTCTTCTTTCTTATTATTTTCAGGTACCTGGATCTCCTCTGAGGTCTTATCATTTATTATGTCATAGGGCTCTTTTTGAGCAATTACCTCCATATTATGATCTTCTAGATCATTTGCTCCTTTTTTCTTTCGAGGATTTTTATCTTTGGAACCAATTGGTCTACCACGTTCAAGCGTGGCTTAGACTCATTTGCATTTATAGATTGTCCAACTGGGACATCAATTCGAATAGGAGCATTAGCAGTTGGAATATTGACTTAGTCACCCTTGGTAGGTTAGTGAATGCATCAGGTAGTTAATTTGCAATATTTTGCAAATAAATTATCTTTTGAATCTCGTGTTCACATTGATTTGTTCAAGGATCTAAATGAAATAGTGATAATGCATTCCAATATATCTCCTTTTGCAGCAACTTATTTTCTCCCCCTAATATTAGGTATACTGATTCATCAAAATGGCAATCAACAAATCTTGCCGTAAATAAATCTCCAGTTATAGGTTCCAAATAATTTATAATAGAAGGAGATTCATACCCAATATATATCCCCAATCTTCTTTAGGGTCCCATCTTTGTGCATTATGGTGGAGTAATTGGAACATATACTGCACATCCGAATATTCTAAGATGGAAAATATTTGGCTCCTGACCAAAAGCCAATTGTATTGGGGAGACTTTATGATAACTTGTGGGTCTGATCCACACAAGAGCTGCTGCATGCAAAATAACATGGCCCCATGCCGAAATGGGAAGTTTTGTTCTCATAAGCATTGGTCTAGCAATTAATTGGAGGCTTTTGATCAATGATTCCGCTAGACCATTTTGAGTATGAACATGAGCAACTGGATGCTCAATTGTTATCGCAGTTGATATGCAATAATCATTAAAGGCCTGAGACGTAAATTCACCACCATTATCAAGACAAAGTGTCTTAATTGCATAATTGGACACTGTGCTCTTAATCTTATTAATTGAGCTAGTAACCCCGCAAAGGCCAAATTGCGGGTTGCTAACAAGCACACATGTGACCATCTTGTAGATGTATCTATCAAAACCATATAATATCTGAATGGTCTACATGGAGGGTGTATGAGCCCACATATATCACCCTGTATACATTCCAAAAATGCAGGAGATTCAACTCCAACTTTAATTACTGATGGTCTAATAATCAATTTTCCTTGAGAACATGCAGCACAAGAGAATTCTTTAGTTTGAAGAATCTTCTGGTTCTTCAATAAATGACCATGTGAATTCTCAATTATTGTGCGTATCATATTATAACCGGGATGGCCCAACCGGTCATGCCAAATAATAAAATCATTAGTAAACTCCTTGTTTACTGTGGCATGTGATTCAACTACACTAATATTAGTGTAGTATAATCCAGAGGAAAATGCGGGAAGCTTTTCAAGCACATACTTCTTTTCCATTTTTATTGTAGTAATGTAAAGGTATTCAACCTTTCCTTCATTGGTGGTCTCAATATGATAGCCGTTTTGGCAAATATCTTTGAAACTCAACAAGTTTCTTTGAGATCTACTACAATATAATGCATCATTAACAACCAATATAGTTCCTCCTAGTAGTAATATAGTCACTCTTCCAGAGCCCTCAATTAATTTTGTACTACCAGATATTGTTATGATTGACTTCTTTCATAATTAAATAAGAGAAATATCTCTTATCTTTTAATATGGTGTGCGTCGTAGCACTATCCAGAAGACATATTTCTTCTTTATTATTCATACGACCAACTGAAGACTGGGAAGTTTTCATATTATTCAAGAAGAAGAAAAATACATCTTAAGTAATATTGAAAAATTTAAGAACAAAAGAAACTACATTCATAATGACAATATAAAAGTTCTATTCAAAATATGAACTTTATAAGAAATACATTTATTCTTATAATTTTTCCCAATAATAAGTCTTCAGTTATGATGCTCAAAGAAGTCTCTAGCTTCTAAATGAGTAATATC